AAAATTTATCTCAAGATTATTGACATCTTATAGACGTACTCTCAAGGCGATCGAATTACGGGAAGTCGAATTATCGGCAGTGACTGTACTACTTATCATGCGACCGGTAACGTGAGTGGTAATAAGTTTCTATTCACCTCAAGATTATTTGACATCTCATATGCATCGCCTTTATTTGATTCTGCTAAATGTAGATTGCCATGCTGTCGATAGACAGAATGAATCCGTAAAGACTCGATTTCAGTCAATTTAGATTAACTTCAATTAATTTCATTGCCCTCCGCGCACGTTCTTCTTTAGAGTCAAATGAATATGATTTGTCAAGCGTGCGACATTTACTTGTATCAACAGGAGTAGCTATTGGGTAAATAGTTTGTATACTAACGCGTATCAGATGGAAGTTAGAGCAGTTGTATAGCCGTAAATGCAACCTGAGAAGAAATTGTGTTAGCAAATTGTTTGTCAAATCATTGCTTATTAGTAAATTATGATTATAATATTTGCCTTTATATAAATTTAGTTTTTTTATAATTATAATGTCTATGTCATCCCATTCTAACAAAACGATCGATTTGTTACTTCAGTGACGAAGTTGTTCTACTCGAACTCTGCATTCTTAATATCAATAATAATATGTCTTTATTATATTGTTATCTGATCATTTTGTCTAAGGTTGTATTTTTGCACTTCCACTTGTGCAGTACTTCAAGCCTAATTTTTTTAGTAACGTCTAATTGTTTTGATAAATGCAATAACAACGTATCAGTATATTATATTTTCAAAACAGGATAATTTGAAATAATGGCAGAGTTTTACAATACAAGCTTGTATGCAAAAACTTTTTAACTTTAACATGCATCATGAAGCTGACAAACTTACACTTGTTAGATAAAGCTCACTCACATCCCTCTGTGGGTAAATATCTTTCAATTTAGTACGCTTGGAAATAAATAATTTCAGTTTTTTGATCGAATTCTATTATAAAACCACTGTAAAGTGTTCAAAGTGTTTTGACTGTAAATTGTTCAGATAGGTCTTGACAGCAAGTTAGGTCTTCCAACCGATAGATTTCCAGTTTGAGCTAATTTTGCATTAAACAAAGCAAAAATTGTTGCAGATCAACTACCCCAGACAGGTGGCATTAATATTAATGTTAAGAAAGTAAACAAAAAATTAATAAATAAACCGTTGAGTCAAAAAATAGAAATAACAAATTTTATTTTAGTTGCTCGTATACAATTGATAATATTCTACAATTATTCATTAGCGGATAATAATACGCCGCACGGAGGAGGCTGAAGCGTTGCATATAGCAAAAATAACTATTCAAAGGATAAATACTAATGAACGCATTCTGCATATAATCTTTGTATAATAGAACAACGTACTGAAAAATTTCCTCGCTATTGTATTCCATAAAGAATGCATAAATAGTAACTTACAAAATACAATTACATATTGTTGCTCTCCAATAATAACAGATACTACTAATGAATACTTAGAAGTCTTTATCTCACACTCTTATACAGTATATATCGTTAATATAAACTTCCTAACAACAGTAAAATTAATTTATCTGACAATAGTGCATAAATTTGTCAGTTTTGTAATAAAAAACTTTGATATCACTAGTACAGTAGATTTTAGTGTAAAACATATATTTTATTTATGTAAAAATTTCTTACAATAAAATATATTTGTAAAATTAAAGTTACGGTATTTATGTGAAATCATCTAAATCAAGTTATAGGTATTTTATGCAGAAGGATTTAAATCCTTGTCTGCTATGAAATAATAAACATGGGTGATTTTCTGTTGACAACTTTATTAATTTATGGTGTACAGTTCTCACTACAAAAACAACTTGCCCAATTTGTTTTGTTGATGCAGATAATTAGTTCTATATGTTTAACGTGGTAACCTCAAGATAAAAATTCTTTTAGTTTCAAAACTTTGTTAAGACGAAAGAGCAGATTCTCAAGTTTACGTTTATCCAAAAATATGCGTTTCTGTGAAAGTCAAGCGGTTGTCCTAGAACAAGACAAATTTTTAGTAAAATTTGGCAATTAAAAAAAATGCATTGGGAGTGAAAAAAACTCTTTAACTGCTGGTGTTGACGAGGCGGGTCGGGAGGTTAGGGGCTTATCTGCAAAAAATCTCGTCAAATGAATTCAAATTGTTTTTAAAATATTAATATTGACAAGGAAAAGAAGCGCACTCCTTTCCGGGCTAAATTAATTTAAAAGAACCATCACATGTTCTAATGACCATGACAATCGCATAGTTTTAACATGATCACGTGTCAACAATAACGATCTGGTGGCTCACTATTTTCAAATTATCTAATTAATGACAGATATTTATTGACTGGGGCAAAAAAATGCAAACTGCGACTATAGTGTTAGAAGCCGATTCACGTGATAGCTCTGTTCGGGGTTTACAAGTAGCATATCTTCTCAATTGTAATAACAAAAATTTAGTATTACCATCGGACAATTGTTATGTATTTTACTTAATATGCTATAAATAAAAAATGTTGATGATTCAAGTCTTCCAACGAGTAACTTGATTTGCTTCTTAAAGATAGATAATTTTTTGTTTAGTATAACGATACATGTTTCGAATATTATTCTAGAGGTTTATGCCAGTCAACCGTTCCGTTCTATCAGATGAATTGGGTTTAAACACAACAATTCTCTCGAAAAATGCCTTTATATCGTCCGTTTCTTATTGTTGGACAATTCTCCTCACAGTGTTGATGCATTTCAGTTTTAGACGGCATATACGTTCTGGCTGTATAAAAGTAATTCGGAAAGGGCCGAGGTAGTATGCAAATTGCATGGTGGTGTAATGGTATCAGGCAGAGTAACGATCCCAGATTTGAATGGACACCTGACGAGAATATTACAGCACGCGTTAATCGTGAATCCAAGGGATTAATGTATGTTCTTATCCCAAAATTTAGATGCGATCTGGGAAAAGAGGAAAAGAGTTTCAGCAAAGTACCAAAACACATTACAAAAACCTCGAACCAGGTGCTCAAATTACTACAGACGGCAGTGATGTCATTACTCGTATGAATCTGATCGCGATCCAGGAAAGGAAACGTAAAAAGAGACCGACTAATGTCATATCTAACGATCGTATTTACTCTCAGGAACTGGAGTCTGTGTATGATAAACTCGATGGAACCAGGTTGTAGTCTGTCCATACCATTAAAAACCTGCTAATGTTTTCAATGTTCCGCTAAAGCAGTCTTATAGTTATAATCCCGATGTTACTTTGTTAAAGTAGATATCTCTAAGCAACGATCAGCATACTACATACATATCACACTGAGAAAGAAAAATCGGAGACTAGTCTTGAATCTACGCTGGAGAGTGCGAAACTATCTCAGCAAATCTTTTTATGAGACGTTACAAGTCATTGAATAATACTTAAAATAAAAACAACGCTTTGCGTCAGTCTGTTTTAGCTAATTTGAATAGTAAAATTGAACAAGGGAATTTAAGTGCTGAGATCCATTATATATTGGACAGCGCAAATGCAGCTTCAGACTCAAACCATTCACCGGAGCGAGCATCGACTTTCTTCTATAGAACACCGTGAAGCTTTTTTCAAATCTTACCCCCCCCAGTCAACAAATAAAACTAGATCAAAGATTACCAATCAGAGTGACAGACCGAGCGCTAATTTCGCAAGCTGGGTCCATATAAATTTATTCTATGTTTTGCCACACTTCGCAACTGCTTATGTCGCGTTCATCGTGAGACAATCAAGAAACGTTTGATTAGGTTCATATGATATTAAGGTACCTATTACTATATATCAACTGGCAGTCATTTTCCATTGATGGGAATGTTCTTTTGGGACAACTTGTAAATTTTTATGGTAAATTTTAAATGCACGTCGATCATCATTTGATAAATGCTATGGTGTGGGACACCTAAAGCCCGAAATAAAATACCCAACTTTCAAAACCCTAAGGCTTTTATATTGGAGGGTTTAGACAAAAACTAATCCGTAAGAATGATAGAGCAGACGAAGTAGAATAAAAGTTACGGTTTAGAATTTTT